CAATGAGAGAGAAATAGGTAATTGATGAAGCAGTTCCAGACTTGGAAGTTTTCCTCTCTTCTAAAGCCATCAAAGGTGTCTTTGATAGCACTGCAGTCCAGAAAACTGAGGACATCAAGGAGATTCTAATAAAGCAACAATGTGAAATAGCACAAAAAACAAGGTAGATTTATTCCTAAATGTTATGTTGAAAATTACTACTCACCTGGAAACTACTACTGTTTCCCATACATACTATGTTCGGGAGGTGAGTTACAACTTTGAGGTAGCTGAGTTTTCTGAAACTATGCAGAAGCTAGAGACTAGAAGTGTCACACTCCATGCTAACAGCATGTTTGGTCACAGTGCACTCCTCATTACCAGTTTCTTTCCTGTTTTTCTGCTCCTAAAGGAAGTTGTACACTAAAGGAAATACCTGCTCAGAAAGAAAATTAGCACCAGATAAACCAACAGCTTAAATTGGCAACTGGACTTCTACACTGAGCACGGTAGTTTCCATCCCCAAGGGTGTTTCTGTTTTGTGGAAAGACTTGGTGTGTTTTGGGAAATTACCTTTGAAAAAAAAGTGGGCCAAGGATGTCTCCAGTAAGATTCAGCCATGTATCACGGATATACACAAGAGTGGGGATTTTTTCTCTCTGAACTCTAGTACATTAATGAAGCTAGTCTGTTTTATTTAACAACTTAAATTCGTTTTTAAGTATGCGCCAGTCCCTTAAATATTCACTACATGATGTTCAACTACAAATCCAAGCATTTCTACATTAAGAAATTAGATTAATAATTAATGTAGCCTAATTAATTGTAAGTTAGTTCCTGAAAGGTTAAGTCTTATAATGGATATCACATTCATGCATATAAAATTTATTCTCAAAGCACAACAGCCACTAAATAAACAGAAATTTTAGGATTTGCACCAATTCTGGTCTGTTTCATAATCACATGACCAAAACAAAAAAGCCTGCTTTGGAAAAAAAAAAAAAAACCAAGCACGAACAGCCATCTGTCTAAAATGTAGTAAAATAAAGTACTAAAGAAGCAGCAGCATCTTTTCTTCCTCTTTAGTCCGTTCCTGCAAGATGCTACTTACACATCTTTGAGTATAACGCGCCCCTTCTACTCCACACGCAAAAATAATTAGGAAAAAGGTGCGACATCTATACTCAAATCATGAGACTACAAAATTTATGCATCTGGGTATGCTAAATACTAAAAATTACCTATTTCTCCAGGTACATTTCTGAGAAATTGAACTAAGTTGAGCATGTATTTTAGTAATCTCTTAAATACGTAATCCAAACAAAATTCACGTAGATACAGTCCTAGGTGAGCTCACAACAGCACAGAGCCTTTCATGCCCACTGTGATCACAAAGTAGATGTGGATGATGTAGAAAGCCAAGATGTGGCTTTGCAATAAAACCTCTAAAAACGAATTCGCTAAGTACAGCACAAATCCATTTCTAAATCATAATTAAAGTTCTTTCAAAAGCAGCAGGTATCTATCCTAGCAGAAATAATGGTAAATACCGGAAAAATCCTAAGCACGCAGATGACTAATTTCTAAGCTATACTACGCATATATGTAGCCTGTAAAAGCTTACTAAGAATTATCTGACTCTTCAAATCCCCACGTAAACACCGAAGCCCCCCCTCGGCCACCGCAGGTACCAATAGCGTATACACCAACACAACTAGATCCATCAGCAGGGAAACGCGAGGGGCAGCCACAGGAAACGGCAGTGCCACTATCCTGCTGCTCCCCTCGAAGACTTCACCGTGTCCGTGCCTCCAAGCACTTCCTGCACAAACACCCAGGCTGCAGACATCCCCCCCTGCCAAGCCCAAGGGGAGCCCTGCAAGCCCCGCGGTCACAGCCCCCTCCCGCCCGCGGGACGCGCCGACACGGGACTACAGGCGAGGAAACGCATTTCTTCCCTCTCCCCGGTGCCCAGGTGCGCCGTCCCGTCCCTCCGCCGCCTTAATCCCTCTCCTGCCTCCACCAGAAGGAAGGGGACACCTTCCCGCCCCGCCGGCCTCTCCCGGGAGCCGGCCCTGCCTGAGGGCGGCCCCCGCCGCCCCCTCCGCCGATGCCCGGCGGGCCCGGGGCCGCCGCCGCCGGGCGGGAGCGGCCACAGGTCGCGGAGGGAGGGAGGGAGGGAGAGATGGGGCGGGCGGGGGAAGCGGCAGCCACAGACACCCCCACCCCCCCTGGGCCTCCCCGGCCCCGGGGTCCCCTCGGGGCGGCCACTCCCCCTGCGGGGCCGGCGAAGGGCCCGGCGGCCGCGGCACGCCGGGACGGGAGCGCGGGAGCGCCGCCGCTGCCACTGCCGCCATCCATCCCTCCCCCCCGCCCCACTCCCTGCCCCGGACAAACCTCCGACCGCCGTTTACCTCTTCTGCCTCGGCGTGCCGGCCGCGGCGAAGCGGGGCGGAGGGGGAGGATGCGGCGGCGGATCCGGTGTCTCTCCCGGGCTGCGGAGGCGGCGGCCCCGGGCGCGCAGGCGCTGCCGCTGCTGCCGCCCCCCCCCCCCCCCCCCCCCCCCCCCCCCCCCCCCCCCCCCCCCCCCCCCCCCCCCCCCCCCCCCCCCCCCCCCCCCCCCCCCCCCCCCCCCCCCCCCCCCCCCCCCCCCCCCCCCCCCCCCCCCCCCCCCCCCCCCCCCCCCCCCCCCCCCCCCCCCCCCCCCCCGGCCTTCTCCTCCTCCCCCTCCTCCCCCCTCACCGCCCGCCGTTACGGAGCGCCGCGCCCGCCCCGTGTGCGCCTGCGCGGAGCGGGGCGCCCCGCGCGCCAGGCCCGCCCCCGGTTTCCTGTCCCCTCCCGCCCCGCGAGCGCCCCCTGCCCGCGCGCCGGGACGGCGGCGCTTCCCGCGGGACGCGGAGAGGGAGAACTGACACCCCCCCACACACACACACACACCCCCACACACATACATAGAGTCACAGGCTCAGTTAGGTTGGAAAAGATAGCCGAGAGCGTGGAGTCCGACCCGTGACTGAACACCGCTGTGTCGACTCGACATTATGTGCACATTATGTGCCTCGTCCCGTCGTTTCTTCAACGCCTCCAGGGATGGTGACTCCACGACCACCACCCTGGGCAGTCTGTTCCAGTGTTTAATCACCCTTTCTGAATGGAAGACTTCCTCCTCATATCCAACCTCAGCCTCTCGTGATACAGCCTGAGGCTGTGTCCTCTTGCTTGTTCTGTCACCGGTTTCCTGGGAGAAGAGACCAACCCCCACCTGGCTACAGCCTCCTGTCAGGAAGTTGTAGAGAGTGGTGAGGTCACCCCTGAGCCTCCTCTATTCCAGGCTAAACACCTCCAGCTCCCTCTGCCACTCCTCACAGGACTTGTGCTCCAGGCTTGTTGCATCCTGGAGACCTGCAGGCTTCAGGGTTAATGCCTGGCCCGGCCATGTCCCACTATGCATCCCAGCATTGCTTTATCCCCCTGGGATCCACCTGCAAGCTGAGCCTGGTCATGTCCAGTCTACATTCCAGTGCCTCCTTTTCCCTCTGGGACTTGCTTTTGGTCCTTTAGCCAATCCTGGAACTCTGGAACATCCTTTGGCCAAGCACAGGCTTGCTGGTTCTTGAGCAAATGCTGCTTGAGGCTTGTGGGGCCTGGAGCTTGCCTCGAGAGAAAAGGAAGTGACAGGGGCACAGGAGGCAGGAGTAGATTTTATTCTTTTATGGGCCCTTCACTTAAGAGTTGGACTCAATAATCCTTGTGGGTCCCTTTCTACTCAGAATATTCTGATTCTGTGATTCTGAGTCTGACTCTGAAGGCTGATGGGAGGTCCGAGGGAAAGGAAAATCCTGATAAATGCAACTTTTTAAAAGCTAGTGACTGTTATTTATTTTCTTTATTTCCCTTTGGGTCCACTCACCAAAAGAAAAGCTAGGAATTTTGCATCAAAAAGGTGAAAGTATGATGGATACAGGAGCTGGGGATTTAAAACATCCAGCATGAGTTAAGGTTGGAAGGGACCTTAAAGATCATCTAGTTCCAACCCCCCTGCCATGGGCAGGTACATCTTTTACTAGACCAGGTTTCTCGAAACCCCACCGAACCCGGCCTTGAACACTGCCAGGGACAGGGTATCCAACAACCTCCCTGGGTAGCCTGTTCCAGTTTCTTACAACCCTCACTTCTACTGTGATGTTTTCCTAACATCTAGCCTGAATTTTCTCTCTTTCAGTTTGTACCCATTACTCCCTGTCCTGTCACTACAAGTGGCTGGTTGCACTAAGTACAAGCGCTGCCATCAGTGCAAAGGAGCAGCTTTGGCTGGGGATGTCTGCGAGGAGTGGATCAGTCATCCTTCCCAGGCATTTTATAGCTTGCGTCTTGGTGCAAGGGACATGTTTAATCCGAACATTATAGTAAGAAAAAAACAGAGGTTTCGTAAATTTCTCAACACAGAAATGAAAACAGTCTCTAAGTATCCATACCTCTTTGTTTTTCCTTAGCCACTCACCTGCCTGCATAGCTCGTGCATTGTGCTTTCTTCTCCTGCCCCCTGCCCCAGGACCTGAGCACTGTATTTGGAGATGTGCAACTCCAGAGTAGCAACTCAGATTCCCATCTCCTGTAAAGACCCAGCGCAGAGTCAAATTGCAACCTCACATTTCATAAACTCCTGTCATATGTGGTGGAATACACCGTACTGCCATAAGGGCTTCTCCTGTTCACACAGAAAAATCATGTTTCTCAGCCCACTTAGCCATGTTAAGACTGAAGAGCATTTCTCCCTTTACTCCCTAGTGAACAACTGGCAAACCTTTGAAACAAATGTAAACTTGGCCTTGCATTGTCTGATTTTTTCTTTCCTTACAAGAAGTGTCTCTAACAGTAGTTTTAATCAGAAGATTGGTAATAATTCCCTTCTTTTTTAGTGTAAGTTCCAACATTACAAAAGGGAAATACCAGATTCACTTAGAGATGCAGCTTAAACATCTGCAAGATGAGACTGCCAGCTTTCTGTACACCAGCTGAAGGCTTTTACCATTACTCCTACCCTCGTGTTTTGACTCTCCTCCCACACGTTGACGGAAAAAGGTCCCAGGCGTCACTGCTAAACAAGCCTCAGGTGGGAGGGGGAGTGGACGAGTAGCAGCTGCCTGCCATAAAGAGGGTGAGCAGAGGCTGTGGTTACTTTCTTGCTGGGCTGGAAGCAGCAGCGACTTTAGTTTTGAGGGGCTCTCAGAGTGCAAGAATAGCTTAGCTTTTGTAGGGGGGAGGGGGGATTGTTTTTGTGGGCTATTTTCTTTCCCTACATTACTTGCTCTCTGAAAGGTCAAAATAATTCTGGGAGTTTTGGCCTAGGAGAGTCTGGTAGGCTTTTTGATGCTTTCAAGAGCTGGACGGGCCACCCTACATGGAAACTGAAGAGGGCTCCAGTGTTCCTAAAAGCGTTCTGAAACTCTAGGCTGAAGGCTGTGCTAGTTTGTAACAGGTCTGGAATTAATTTTCCTCTAACTTTGAAGTGCTTAAATTCTCCACAGAGTTGAACTGGTGTTGGGTTTTTTTATTATTATTCTGTGCAGTCACCAGATCTTCTGTGTTCTCTGATTTCTTATATTCTTTTTAAAAAGCTGTGTGTGATAAGCTTGTGTGATATCACTTGCATGGGTAGGAATGGACTGAGATTAGTGTATTAGTTAACTGAAGAAATAAGTGTGGGAGCAAGTTCCATCTTGTGAATTTTGTATGGTGCTGAATACAAACTTACACATAAGGATTTTGGTGGGGTTGTTGTTGTTACCTATTATTTGGGTTAGGCATAGGAAACGTGGTGTCACTGAAATATTTGGTTTACTATGTTAGCTATCACTGTTCTTAAATAATTTATAAAGTACAAATCCTGAATTAATAGAGTTCTTATTGTGATGTGTAACAATATGTGTTAGCATTAAGAAGTGTTTTCTTTGTGAAACATTAAATGTCTAATACTGTGAAACCTTCTGTTGCCCCCCCCCTTTTTTT